ATAGAAAGAAAGGGTATGTAGGGATGATTTGTAAGTGTTCATGTCCCAGACACAGTTAAGTTTGAGTGTTGCATATTTCTATTTGTGCCACATCCTCTCTCCACTCTGCATTCCAGTTCCTTAGAGTATGACCTTATTTGGCAGTAGGGTCATTATAGAGGTAGTAGTTAAAACAAGATCATTAGGGTAGGCCCTAATCCAAAATGACTGGTATCCTCGTAACAAGGAGAAAATTTGGACATACACTCATAGAGGACAGATGACATGAAGACAGCCACATGACGATGGAGGCAAAACTAGAGCGATGCATTTGCAAGCAGAGGACTACCTGAGCCACCAGAAGCCAGGAAAGAGGCACAGGGCCTTCCCTAGTGCCTCGAGGGGGAGTGGCCCAGATGACCCCTTGATTTTGGATTTAGAGTCTCCAGAACTGTGACACAATAAATTTATGTTATTCTAAGCCAATTAGTTTGTGGTACTTTGTTACAGCAACCTTAGGGAAGTAATATTGTTGGCAGCTACTTAAAACTTTTTAAACACCAGCAGATCACAGTGGCTTGAACATCCTGTTTACAGCCTCTGCTGAAGGGAAAGAAGGTGTGGCTGCTGGTTGTTTATCCCACATCCACAGGAGGGCACAGCTGAAGGAGAGGGCACATTCATGGAGTCCTGGCCAACCCCAAGGAAAGGGTCTGGCAGAAGCCACCTTCACCATCCTCTTGCCCAGGCTTAGAAGCCACCACTGGAGGTCTCTGGTCTTGCCTCTTCCCTGCAAGCCACTTCCTCTGGGAGCTTTTGTGTCCTTGGTCTTATATTAGAACAATGGCTAGAAAGGATCAAGGATACAAAAAGCATTCTCTGAGAGGTGGTCTTTCCTCCTGGGGAGGGAAGCAGCAGACATTGGCAGGCTGGACCCATTTTGGCTGGGAGCTCCTAGGTTTGCATGGGTGCATCCTCACCTCCCGAGGCCACAAAGCTGGGAAAGTTCTAAGCACAAACAGCCCTGACACCAATTGTGGCTTCCAGAGAAATGAGGATGGTAATAAATAAATGTAAAAAGAGTTAACAACACACCCTTTAAGCCAAGAAAAAAAATACATCAGGAGGGACGGTCACAATAGAGTGGACTGAGAGGAGGCATGAGGGGCTAGACCATAGGGCCAGGAGGGGGTGAGGGACGAGAGGGGTGAGGCTCCCCCTTCCCAGCCCCAGGAGATGGAGAAGAACGGAATAGGCTGTGTGTAGCAGCTGCTCCTTCTCTGGCCCAGCACAGCCCATGCTCTGGCCAGTGCTTCTGGCAGGCACCTAGCGGGACAGCGGCGTCTGCTTCAGGGACATGAGCACCGAACGCAGCCGGGACACATCTTTGCACTGCTTGCTGCTTTTGGGGTTGAAGTCACACAGCTGGGCCACCTTCTCCCACTCTGTGCCTGGGGTATCCTCCTTGGACTCCTTCACGAAAGCTTCCTCAGATGCCCTGCAGAAGGAGAGGGGACAGATGTTCCACAGCCACCCTTTCTCCTGAGGCAATGATGGTCCACTCCATCCAGCTGTTTTGTGCATCCTACACTAGAGCACTTTATCCAGTGGTCTCCCAAACCTTGTGCTCTCTGACCTCAGCTCCCCAGGAACAGCCTTGGCATAAAAGGAGGCCTAGGGCTGAGGGTGTAGCTCAGTGGTACAGCACTTGCCTCGCATGCAAGAGGCCCTGGGTTCAATCCCTACCAACCCCCCCCACCCCCACCACTGAAAGCCACTGAGAAAGTGACAATGGGGAAACAATTGTCAATACAGTTGAGTGGACAAAATCTAAACATGAAGCCATTGAGAAAAAGACAAAGTGTTCTTTGGTGGGGAGAGCTGGAATTGTGTCTTCTTAGGCCAGCAGGGATCCCTGGAGAGCCCCTTCTGCATCTCCAGCAGGACTAGTTCTGTCACATGCCAAGTACAGGCTAATGGCAGGGAGCTCTGGAGTGATCCCAGCAGGTTGTGCCATGGAAGAGGTGGTCAGTTAACCCAGCTCCTTCCTACAATCTTCCAGGTTGTATGCTCAGCTCCCAGGCTGTGAAATGAGGACTGTAGTCTCCACTCTGCCAGGCTGTTTCCTTGCCTGAGAGCCCAGTGAGGTGGCAGGTGTGTGCTGTAGAGCTGGACAGTGAGTGGGGATGAGGGAGCTGCCTCTTCAAGGTCACACCTTACTGCTCAAGGTGTGGTCTGTGGGGGCAATGGTACAGAGGCATCACCACGGCACTTGTTAGAAACACAGAATCTTGAGTCCTACTGATCAGAATCTTCATTTGCTCAGGCTCCCTGGTAACTCACAGACAGATAAAAGTTTGAGAAGTACTGGTCTAGTTTTGCACTCCCTTTGGTGCCCTCTCGGGTGCTCCCTGGGCCATTTCTTGGGGCGAGGTAATGTTCTTGAGCACCCAAGCCTGCAGGATGTCCCCTTCTCCTGCTGGAAACTTCCCCTGGCTCCCCATTACCTTTAGGGTCAAGTCTGGTACAAAAGGCACTTTGCAACTTGCAAGCTGACACCTTCCAACCTCAACTCCCATCCATCCCCACAAACCCAGCCCCACAGGCTCTAGCCACTTGCAGCCAGCTAGACAATTTCTTGCTCTAGACCTTTGCCCAGATGCTTCTCCCACCTACAATGTCCTTCTCCTCCCACCCTGCCCGCCTAGAAAAGCCCTTGAACTTGTAAGTCCAACTGAAGGTCAGGGATCTCCAGCTGCTGGCTGCCCCAGCAAAGGGAAGCTTCTAGAACTCTGTGTGTGTCCTTTCACAGGACTCACAGTGTACTCCAAACTACTAGCAACTTGGGGTGGTGGACTGTGTGTCTTATTTTTATTTGACCAGAGACTTGCTTTGAGTAAATTCCAATAAGTATCAGGCTAGTGGGAGAGGGGACAACGAGAGGAGGGAGAAGGAAGGCTGCTGTACCCTGCATTGTATGACAGAAGGGTGAGCACAGACAGCAACAGAGGCTGCAGGAGCTCACCCAAATGAGGCATGGCTCCAGCAGGAACAGCAAGTACTACACACTCTCTCTCTCACCATTGCATTTTCTCCTGCAGCTTCAGAATGCCCTCCAAGCTATCATTACCAATCAGCTGGGGCTAGCATAATAAGGAACCTGTTTGCCATCCCAGGTCTAGATTAATTCCAGCCAGACTCCAAACCCAGAGGCATGTGTGAGGGGCTGGTGGTGAAGGGAGCAGGGGCCTATGGCCAAAGTCAGTGCACTTGGGGGCAGAGGGGAGGAAAGAGATAAAGCATCCCTTCTTTTTTTATGCTAAGCACCCTGTACTCAGTGTTTGTTTTGTTCAATAAGATTCCTTCAACCCACTCACCCACCCACCCCCAAGAAGCATCTTGGAGAAGGAGCTAGCTGCCTTGCCCTTTGTCCCTCCCACATGGGGCTGGCCAGTGCGAAATTTTCTCTGCCTCCACCCTGCAGGGCTCTCTACATGGCAAAGCTGCCTCCAGTTTGCTGGAGGGATAGAGATGAGGGTTAGTGCCCTGGGTCTGCCTCCTGCTCTGGTCATTGCCCCAAGCCCAGTCACATTCATTTATACCCCACAAGCTGAAGACTCAATAAACCAAGTGCCAGCCACACAGGGGACACCCCCACTTCAGCAACCCCCTGGCAGAGAACAAAGAAGACAACATACACGTAGCCGATGATATCAGCATCTGGCTGCTGGTAGAACGCTTTGTCAGCAATCCTTGAAGGGAAGAGGTTAGGTGGGGGAGACAGCAAGACAGGCAGGCAGAGGGTTAAAGAGAAAGAGAGAGAGCGTTAGTGTCTCCAGTGGGAGACATGTTAGAAAGCATGAGTGTGGAAATCTGAGAAACTAGGCACAGCCCCAGAGATGGAACTAGGGATCCTCTGCCCTGGCCATCGCTCTGTTCAAAATGTTCAATGGCTCCCCACTGCCTATGCCTCTGTCCAAGGTCCTCCCAATGTGACTCCCACACTGCCCTCTTCCTGCCTTCTGTCCCTCCACTCCTTGACACCTTGTAATCCAACACATGCCCTTTCTTTCCTACCACACAGTTGCCAGGTCTCCAATACCCTCCCCTACACCCAGCCTGCCCCCCCCCCTTTTTTTCCTGATGAACTCCTAGTCATCTTCCAAAGCCCAAGAATTCCACCCCATCCTGCTTCTGTGGTCTTCATGCTGAGGGCCCCACAGTATTCAAGACCCACTGAACATGTGTGATTCTCTCCTCTGAGCTCTCTGAGACATGGATGGGTCCTCCTTATCTTCTATTCCCCAGTGCCCAGCCAAGAGCCCAGCATATGTCTTGAATACAAATGTGGCAGTTTCCCTGGTACCTCTTCCATTCTAGGAATATCTCCTACTGTGAAGGGCACAGCCTCCAAGGCAGTGGCTACTCGGCAGTATCTACTTGAGACCAAAGGTATTCTTTAGTGGGCACCTGCTGTTTGCCTACCCAGCATCCATGCACCCTGATAGCACTCTGCATGGTCAGGCTGCTACCACTGCTGTCCCTGTGTTGTCCTGGGACTGACCCCCATGTCCAGCCCAGGCTGGGTGTCATTGGAACATCCTCCTGGCTAGAGTAACTGGCCCTCATATGGACACATGACCCAAGCCAGACCTATGAGGGTCAGGTCAAGGATTTTGATTGGGACTAGTGGACACCTAATGCTGTTTTTACTGGGATTGCCAAGAGAACAGGACAGAAGCCTGGAACTGCTAATGGCCCTCTCTGCCCCCATACCAGGGATGTGGTGTGTGTGCAAGAGGAAATCACATAGAGAAAAGCAGTAAAAGTGAGTGCTGATTGACTTCCTGATGCCACTGTCCCTAAGGTTATACAGTGCCTTATAAGGTTATATAAGGTTCTATAACCCCTAGCCTTTTGGTTATACAGGCCACTAATGTGCCTCATCACTTAGTCACTCTGGGTTGCAGTGTTCTCATTTCTACAATAGGTTGGTTCTTCACTCCCAGCCAGGTCTGTGCCCCTCTGATCCTAACCTAGTCTGGTTGCATTCTGGGCCCTGGCACCCTTTTTGCTGACCAAAAGACCCTGCCTCCTCTTGTCAGGGAGTGATGAGAGCTCAGTGGTGGACCAGCTCCAAAGGGCTCTGACTCCACAGGAAACCAAGCAAGTGACGCTGGGGCCTCCAAATCACCCATGTCAAAGCAGTCCCCAATACCATCGCTCCCCTCACTGACCCATGGCTCACCTCAAGTCCCGGCACCCCCTGCATGTCCCTGCAGTCCCCCTCATGTCCCCTTAGCCCCTCAATGTCCTCATACCCCCTGTCCCATAGCCCCTCATGACCTCTTAGCCTCTCATGTCCCTTAGCCCCCCATGTTCCCAGGACTCCTCTCACCGGTTGTTGATCTTATTCTTCTCAACTTGTTCACTCTGGCGCTGGTTCCACTCCTCCAGGTCCTTTTTGGCCTTCTCCCGCCACTCCTGCTCTGTCACCTTGGAGGCAGCATCTGAGACCCAACAGGAGAATGAGTGGCAGATTTCCAGCAGGCACAGAAATGCCTCCTCCTTCCTTCCTGCTTCCCCTGCTTTCCTCCTGCTTCCTGGGCCTCTGCTAGTTAGCCCTAGGGCCATCCTCAGCCACGTCCACACTAGGGCAGAAGACCCCAAGGCCTCCCCACTCCACCCCCACCACGTCCCAACAAGCGACCCCCCACCCAGGACCTGGCTTGGGTCCAGCCCTACCCTTACCCAGCTCTTGCAGCCGTTTCTTCTGCTCCTCTCTCCATTTGCGGATGCTCTCGGGCTCCTGAGTCAGTCTGTCAGCCTGAGCGATTGCAGCGTAACCATCTGCAGGGCCATTAGCCTCCTAGAATAAATACACAGAGTGCCCAGCCTGTCACATCTGCCCTGCTGTCTCGCTGACTCTGCTGCTCCTGCCGGGACTTCAAGTACTAAGGCACCCCTCACATCAGGACAGCTTGACAACCTCAAAAGACAAATCTATATCTCCCATGATATACCCTGCCTTTGCACTTCAGGTTCCCTCTGCTAGTTCTCCCTGTCAGGCCTTCAATGGCTCAACCTGATCATTCCCCCAAGACTAGACACACTCATTTATACTCCACTCTCTTCATCGTAAAGGGACTAAATAATAATGCCCACCCCATAGGGTAGATATAAGAATAAAACGGGCCAGGCGCCGATGGCTCATGCCTGTAATCCTAGCTACTCAGGAGGCAGAGATCAGGAGGATCTAGGTTCAAAGCCAGCAACGACAAATAGTTCATGAGACCCTATCTTGAAAAAAACCCATCACAAAACTGGGCTGGTGGAGTGGTTTAAGGTGTACCCCCGAGTTCAAACCTCAGTACAAAGAAAAAAAAAAAGAAAATGGGTGGAAAAACACAAAGAACTTGCAACATGTCTTGGCATACAGTGAGTCCCTTGTGTTACCATCAGTAAAGTCATCCTGTATTACAACCGTTGCGGAGTGGGGAGGCTCAAGCAGTAAGAACCTGCTAAGCAACCATGAGACCCTGAGGGCTGGGGAGGGGGGGAAAAACAAAACTATTAACTGACATACAGAGTCTGAAATGACCTCCTTTTATACTGCATTCATTTGTCCATCAGAATGTCATCTTTTGACAGTAGAGACCTTGTCTGTCTTGTTCACTGCAGTGTGCCCAGTGCCTGTCACAGTGCTATTGAGTCTATCAGATACTCAATAGATATTTGTTGAGTGAACAGGCTGAACAGGCAGCCCAAAGATACACAGAACAGCCATGACTAAGGCTCTGGCTTAGTAAAGAACTTGGGTTCTGTAGCCAGACTGTCTGGATTCCGATCCTATCATTGATGCTGCAAGATATGCACCAAGTTCCTGAAATTTCCCAGCCTGTTTTCCTTTACAATGTCTTTTTTTTTTTTTTTTTTGGCTGCACTGGAGTTTGAACTCAGGGCCTCATGTTTGCTAGGCAGGTGCTCTACCACTTGAGCCACTCCACCAGCCTCATCTGAACATGGGACTAAGTAAGACAACCTCTCATACTGGCTTCTGTGATTTATTTTTATTTTATCTTATTTTACTTATTAATTTATTTTGCAGTACTGGAGCTTGAACTTAGGGCTACACACTTGCTAGGCAGGTACTCTACCACTTGAGTCACACCCCAGCCTTCTGTGATTTGATGCACAGAGTCATGGCCCAATGAACAGTGACTAGAATTACTACTGTCTTTATCACTCCCATTTTACAGGGGAGAAAACTAAGACCAGGGGAGATGTGGAACCGTGAAGTGGCTGGAGTCCAGGCCCAGGCTCTACCCACTTCTCCTTGCCACCTGGCAGATCAGGGAACAGAAACTTTGGAGGTCGTGAGCTCAGATCAACAGCAATGAGACAACCTCTGGATTGAGAGGTATGGGAGCTCTGTTTCAGCAGCGCCCTCCCTACCCTTCCTCTCCCTCCCCCCACAGTCTGCCAACGCATTCCAGTCCACATCGTCCCACACCCTCCAGCGTCACAGTGGGCTTGCTGATGGCAGTACTCACCCTTTCCCTCTAGCTGATGAAATCTTACTCCAGCCTACGAGTTTCCATCTCAAGAGCCACCGGTCCCCAGCCCCCCACTCATGTTCCAGACCCCTTCTTCCACCCCTTGTCACAGCCTTCTCCTTCTACTAGGCATCTCCTCCACTGGATCAGGAGCTCCTGGTGAGCAGGCCTTGTTTACAGCCCCTGAACAACCACCCCTCCCCCATTCAGTCACTTTTTTTTTTTTTTTTTGTGGTACTGGGGCTTGAACTCAGGCCTACACCTTGAGACACTCCAGCCCTTTTTTGTGTTTGTTAGGTATTTTTGAGATAGAGTCTTGTGAAGTGTTTGCCCCAGCTGGCTTCAAACCTCGTTCTTCCTGATCTCTGCCTCCTAAAATGAGGATTACAGGTGTGAGCCTACGGCACTGGGCTCACTTTGTGGCCTTCTGCCCATCTCCTTCAAGCATTTGTCCAAACTGTCAGGACCGACAGTGTTGTTTAATGTCTTTTCCGTACGAGACAGTGCTGGCATGCCCTCTGTACTGTGGTGCTCACCACTGTCCACAGCTCAGAGCAGGTGTTCAGAAAACAGGCTAAATAAGCAAAGACCTCAGAGCCAGCACGGAGGAACTGGGAGGAAGAGCAGGGAGAGGGTGTTGCCCAAGGGTGTGGATAGGCAGGTGAGGCAGCAGCCAGATGGAACTTCTTGGGGCTCAGCTCCAGTTGCCTGGGGAGTGAGGAAAGGGCAGGCTGAGGGCAGGGTGCCTCGGATTAGACCCAACCCTTGGGTGGGGCAGCAAACACTACTTTACTCCTCCTTCCTTCAGGGCAATACACTGCGTCAGATTCTCTCTCTACCTCCCTAGGGGCCTTCCGACGTGGAGAACATAAATTGATTAGATTATGTTACTTGTGAGACCCTGTCTCAAAACCAAATCAAAAGAAAACCAGGTGGAGTGGCTCAAGAGCTAAGCATGCCTGCTTAGCAAGAGTGAGGCCCTGAGTTCAAACTCTGGTGCTGCCAAAAAACAAAGAAAGAAAAAGAAAAGAAAACTCTGTATGTGTTGGAGCACAGGCGGCCATTGTACACGATCAGGGGTTGGTTGAATCCAGGGATGAGTAGAGGCAGAGAGAGGGCTGACTGTAGAGCAATTGCTTAAGGAAGTGGTTGTGGCCCTGTGAGGTGATGCATACCTGTAATCCCAGCTACTACGGAGACTGAGGCAGGAAGATTGAAAGTTTGAGGCAAGCCTGGGCAATTTAGCAAGGCTCTGTCTCAAAATTAAAAAAAAAAAAAAAAAGGCCTGTAGCTGTAGCTCAGTGGCCCTGGGTTCATTCTCCTGGGGTGGGGGGGTGGGTAGGAAGTGGTAGTTGGTGAGTGGGAGGCTGCTAAAGCCAGGGTCCTTAGAGGAGGCTCTCTCAGGGCTGGGGTCTGAATTAGGAGAGAGGTGGAGCCTGAGGACATTATAATCCCCATTCCCAGCTTCTACGGAAGGAGAGTTCCAGACAGAGACCAAGCCGGCACAAGCTGAGCTGGCTCCAAAGGCCACTGTGGCAAGCGTGAGTTGATGAAATACAGAAATCACGGGGGCGGGGAGAGGCTACATCATTTGGATTTCATTCAGATTGCAGTAGAGAGCCTTTGATATTTTAAGACTGGACATGTTATAATCTGATTCAGGGTTTGCACAGAACATTTTGTTTTGTGATGCTGGGGGTGGAACCCAGGGCCTCACAGGCTGGGCTGGCACCCCACATGGCGCTACATCCCCAGCCCAAGTACACTGGTTATTTCACTGTGGAGAAGGGGCTGTAGGGAGCAGTGGTCCAGGCCAGAGGCAGCAGGGATTAGACAGCGAGAAGCCTTCTCTGAAGACACTGCTTTAGTAGCCTCTCACTTCCCAACTACTACTTTGTACCCAACATATATAGAGTTTTCTTTTCTTATTATGTATTTATTTATTTATTTTGGCGGCATGGGAGTTTGAACTCAGGACCTCACTCTTAATAAGCAGGCGCTCTTAACTCTTGAGCCACTCTGCCTGGTTTTCTTTATTTGTTTGTTTGGTTGGTTGGTTTTGATTTGATTTTGAGACAGGGGCTCACTAAGTAGCCAGGTCTGGCCTTGAACTCTTGATCCTCCTGCCTCAGCCTCTTGAGTGCTGGGATTTCAGGCATTCACAATCACACCCAGCCGGGAAAATTTTAAGTACACAGTGCCACCAGTTGTGGGAGGAGATGGGGTAGAAGAGGTGGATTGGAGAAGCGGTCCCATTTGTGTCCTTCACTGTCCATCGTCTCCAGAAAGCCTGACTTAACATTAAGATGCCAGAGCACTTACAATTAAATGGTTTTGTTTGATCTTTTACAATTTTATACGAAGGGTTTTATTATCTCTGTTTTATAGGTAGGGAAACTCTAGCACCACAGTGCCAAGGTTACCCTGCCAGCAAGTAGCAGAGTCAAGAATCAAACAGAATTACTGGGTGTGAACATCCTTGAGACAGAGTAGCTAACAGGGAACAAAGTGGCTTCTATGTTGCATTATTTGTGTTTCTGTTTCTTTTTTTTTTTTTTCCTTTCCCAGGGCCTACACCTTGAGCCACTCCACCAGCCCTATTTTTGTGAAGGATTTTCTGAGATAGGGTCTCACAAACTATTTGCCCATGGCTTGCTTTGAACTGCGATTCTCCTGATCTCTGCCTCCTGAGCAGCTAGGACTACAGGCGTGAGCCACCAGCACCCAGCTGTGTGTTTCCTTTTTGACTCTCTGATGGGTCCTTTTTTTTAAGTCCTGAGGATCAAACCTAGGGCTGTGTGCTTGCTAGGTAACTGCTGTACCACTACTATGTACCTTCCCAAGACTAGAAACTTTCTCTCTCTCTCCCTCTCTCTCTCTTTCACACACATACACACACACACACACACACACACACACACACCCCACCCCTCAGCTCATTTAGTGGCCAAGACAGTAATTGCAAGAAGTTTCCAGGGTTACAGAGCTCTTTTCTCAATGCCCCTGGGTAGGGGCAGCCAAGTGGGGGCAGTCAGGCAGGGCCTTAATGCCCATTTTGCAAATGAGAAGCCAGGCTCACAAAGGCTACTTGATTAGTCCAAGTCCACCCAGCTTTGACAAAACACAAAGTGAGGTCCAGGTCTCTGGTCCCATCCACGCTTTGCCTGCTGACTGCTGCACAGTTGCACCGCACATTCAGGGGCATAGCTCACCCTGTTCCACAGCACCTATTGTCCCCAGAGGTGGAGGCAACCCTGCCCCAGGCACAGAGTGTGAGGCCCAGGCCCAGCTCACCTCCACGACCTCCACACCCCAGCCCCACCAGCAGGGAGGCCCCTAACTGCTCTGGATGGGAGCTGTGTGGCCCTCTGCCAGCAGGCACACCCCACTGCACTGGTGGCCTCCCCACTCTCCTGGCACATCCTTCTATGCAGCAGGTACCATGGGGGTTCTGGGCAAGCCCTGGACTAAGTGTCTTACCCACTGTGTCTTTGCACCTGCTGTTTCCTCAGTCAGGACTGACCACATCCCCTGAGCAGCCTTGAAATCCACTCCCAGCAAGCCTTTCCTGACTTCAGGCTTGGATGCCTGGCTTGGATTCAAGCTATGTAACTGAAGTAAGCTATTAAAACTCCCTGTGTAAACCAGGGTGTTGAAAGAACCTGCATTGTGGGGCGTTGGGCAGATTAAATGTGTTAATCCTTGTAAGCTCTCCAGCAGTGTCTGACGCACAGGAAAACCCAACTTTAACTCTTTTTTTTTTGAGATACTGGGGTTTGAACTCAGGGCCTCACACTTGCTGGGAAGGTTCACTACCACTTGAGCCACTCCACCAACCCCTTTTTTTGGTGATGGGTTTTTCGAGATAGGGTCTCATGAACTATCTGCCTGGGCTGGCTTCGAGCCTCAATCCTCCTGATCTCTCCCTCCTGAGTAGCTAGGATTACAGGTATGAGTCACCAGAACGTGGCTAACTGTTAGATCTTAAGACTGCCCTAAAACCCAATCTCCACCCATCCTGGGCCACTATTACTTCTTTCTAGGTCTCTGTCCCTCTGGGGACAAACACCACATTGGATTTGCCTGTATGTTCCCTACCCTTTCTCAAGGCATGACACTCAAAGAATGTGAGTTGGCCAAATAAGCAAGTGACTGGTTATAAAGTCATGTGGAGGCCCAGGAAAGGCACTGGGCTCAACATCAGAGAGTGTGGGCTTTAAGTCCCTGTTCTGTCAGTCACTAGCAATGACATTGAGAAAGTCCCTTCCCCAAGTAGCTTGAATTTCAAACCTGGCAAAGGACAGCGACTGTCCCACTCCAGGTGCAGAGTAAGGATCCCATGAAGCATCTGCCATAAAGCTACCTGTCCCCACAGAGGATGCCCATGTGAGGGGTGTCAAGACCACTGTGGCTCAGAAGGCAGGAGGCTCCCAGTTATGTCCAGCTTATCTCAGCCCAGCTTCCTGGCTCCCCTCTCGTAAGAGACTCCTCTGCTGGGTACCACCCTGAGAGCCTCCCAAGGTCATGCTGGCCACACACACACTTCTGGGACAGCCAGGAGGATGAGGCACATCAGTCCTGCAGATTGACCAGCTCAAGATAAGCTAGGCTGAGCTGTTGATTCCCCTAAGCAGCTCAAAGAAGGATAGTGTGTGGGGGGGAGGGGGGCAGTGGAGAGAAGAAGAGAGAATTTATGCAGGAAGGTGGATAATCTTGCAGGGGCCTTCTGTCCCTGCCCTGGGTGCGGTCAAATGAAGCTGGAACAGGTACGGGCAAGCTTATCCTTAGGTCACACTGTGGATCAAGTTTGTAGCTGGGCTCCCCACCCCCCCATGCCCCCCACCCCCGCCGCCACACACACCCACCCCCCGCCCATAGCCCACAGGCTGCCAGGAAAAAATTGAAGCACAAAAGCTCAGCCCAGGACCCTTGATGTGTTTGGGTTGCCAAGGTCAAGGCTCTTCCTCCCCTGAAAGCGCAGACACTGCTGTACTCAGTGCTAAAGACAGTGCTCAGGGATTTCAGCCTGCACCCCAGCTGCTTGGCCAGCCTACGCTCAGCAGGGATCAGAAGATGTAGGTGAACAATGTCTTTGCCAGAAGCTTCTGAGTGGCTGGCCTCACCTGTGACCCTCCGCTGCCTGAAAGCATTCAGATGGGACTGATGGGAAATGATTTAGAAGACACAAGCTTTGGGTCATTATTACTTAACAGAGAGCTAAGAATTCCCAGTGAGTTTAGGAGGGGACCCTAGGGTTCCTCAGGGCCGCCAAATGCAAAGCCAGGCCTGGGGACAGAAAAGTCAGGGAAAACAAATCAACCAAGTGAGGAAAACCCCAGAGATGGCTAATTTCCTGTGTGACTTTGCGTAAGTCACTCACCCATCTGAACCTCAAGCTCTTAATCAACTGAAAAATGAAAGTATCGTGTCCTAGGTACTTCTGTGGTTCCAAGGAGGTCTCCAGCTCCAGTTCCGATTTTTTGAAACAGGGTCTTACTGTGTAGCCCAGGCTGGCCTTGAGCTCACAATCCTCCCACTTCTGCCTCCCAGTGCTGAGATTATAGGTATGCACAACCACACCCAGCTGTAACATAGACCTTTTGGATCAACCAAAGTCCTTGTGAGTGTGCCCAGGGCTTGGCAGTCTAAGTCTCAAAGATCTAGCAGATAGTACAGGAATCACGTTTATTCTTTGGTTCTGTCAGGCTCAACTGGACATGATGCTGCCCAGTGCTAGAGATCCACTTTTCTAGTTTGCTGAGAGTTGAGTAATTTTCCTCAAATGGGATTTGGCCAGTTTTCCTGTGTAAGGTACCAGCCCATCCCGCTTACGTAAGAAAGTATTGTTTACTCTCCCCGGGATTCAGAAGGCCAACTCCTCCATGGGGTGGGACTCCGCCACAGGGTGGGGCTCCTGAGATGAGGAAGCAGCAGCAGCCCCAGCGATCCTGGTCTTTGATCCAATCTGAGTGGGAATTAAGGCTCAGCACTGGGGGCTAAGATCCCAGTCAAGCATCTGGGGGTAGGGTAGAGCAAGGACCGCACATACATGGGGTTCTAGGGGTGCCATTAGTGGTCTGGGTTTTCTAGGTTAAAGTACCTTTTTTGTTCTGTTTTGTTTTGCTTTGTGACAAGGTCTCAATATGTAACCCAGGCTGGTCTCAAACTTGTCATTCTCCCTCCTCGGCCTCCTGAGTGCAGGGATTACAAGCATGCACCACTATGCCCAACTGAGAAACAGTCTTTAACTAGAAATACCACCCTCTCCTAGGCTCACTAACTCCCCCACCCATGGAACCCAGGGCCTCTTGCCTTCAAGTACAACTATTGTTAACAATTGGTGCAAACATTTGAAAAAGAAAAATAGAGGGATAAGGACGAATGATGGAGGGGGTGAATTCAACTACGATGTATTGTAAGAACCTTTGTAAATATCACAATGTACCCCAGTACAACAATAATACAATAATTAAAAAATATATAAAAGAAAACTAGAACCCTACCATGCATTTTGTTCTGCCTTTTTCTACTTCATACATCTGTACATGTCAATACAGAAAGCTCTGGTGGCCCTTTGTGACAAGGATATCACTGTCCCATCTGTCTACCCAGGTCCATGATGCTAGACACTTAGGCTTTTGCAGCCTGCCTGCTATTACAAACATTTCTGCAGAGAATCTGGGTATCCTCCATCAATTATTGCTTAGGGAAAATTCCAGAAAGTGGAAACTCTGGACCAAAGGACCTGCCTGCGAATGTGCTCACACGTGTGGAGCTGGCCAGTCAGTTTTCAGCCTCCCACCAGCTGTACACAGGGCCCTGTATTTTCTTCATTCCATGCCACCTGGAGTCACTTTACCTCTCCCTCCTGCAGCAGGACGTCACCACGGATAACCTGAGGCTAACTCCCCATCAATGTCTGTCTCTAGAGTCTTTATTCTTCATGCCTGCCCCCTACACAAGAAAACATGTCACAACCTTTTGCTCCACCCCAATGCAGCAAACAAATGAACAGAACTTGGAGCCTATGCAGCCTGTGATCGAGCCATAAGCAACTGAGACATAGGCTGTCAGGTGTCAGTCCCACCATCGCTAGGATGGGACCCTGCTTACCTGAAACACATCTCCGTTGACTGTAGTCCCCATGTCCTCAGAACCAGCTAGAAAGAGAACAAGAACACATCACTCACTGTCTACCTATACCAAGCACAGATGGCCCTAGGTTAGCATCTGAGGCCAACCTCTGTATAAACCTATCTGTATATTGACCCCATACAGACACAATGGATATATAACTGGGGGTCAGACCTTGACTGAGCATAGCCTTGCACAACCATTAGCACACTTGATTTTCCCCACAGCCCTATGATGAAGTCGTTAGCAACCCATTTTACGGATTCTTCAGCAGAGACTCAGAGAGGTTACATGATTGCCCAAGATCACCCAGCTAGTCATAGCTCCTTACTTTCCTGAAGTTAATTGACCCACAGCCCGCCTGGGAATGGCCAGTGTGCCAGTAGAGCCCATGCCTGGTGAGTAGGCAGAAGTGCTGCAGGCTTAGGGCGGGGGCTGTCAGGGATAAGGAAGAGGGGGATCTGCGCGTCTCTACCTGTCCTGGTGGAGCCTTGAGCAACCTGGGAGAGCAGGACTCATAGTTCCCACTGGGCAGCACCTGGCCTGTTTTTGTGCCTCTGTGTCCCTCCCAGAAGGATTTTCTTTTGTCTCCAACTGTGACTCCTCCTGGTCCCTTTTGCCAGCCATCCATTAGTCACACATCCCTGTGGCTTCTGCAAGTGACCCCAAAGTCTCCCTTGCTGTCTACCTGATGCCCAGCCTACCCTGGCTACCATAGCTCACTTACTTTGGTCTGTCAGCCTTGTCACACCTGGAAGGGTGTGCCTCTTTCTCCTCACAACATACATGTGCGTGGTGGCTCACACCAGTAATCTCAGCTACTCTCCCAGATACTCAGGAGGCAGAGATCAGGAGGAGGATTGCTATCAGAGGTTGGCCTGGGCAAAAAATGTGAGATCCTAACAGAAAAATAACTAAAGCAAAAAGGGCTGGTGGAGTGGCTCAAGTGGTACTTGCTTAGCAAGTGCAAGGCTCTGAGTTCAAACTCAAATACTGCTAAAAAAAAGAAAAGCAAACAAAAAAAAGAAGAGAAGAGAAAAAAAAAGAGAGAGAAGAAACCCACTTTCCATTGACCACAGAGGCCCAAAGGGCCTGCTGTTGCCTGAGGGGACTTTGCAGGTGCTATTCCCTCTGCCTGGAAGGCTCCTCCACTTGCTTCCTTGTGTCTGCTCGCTCCCTCCCTCCCCTTGGCTTCTGCTTTCAGTGGAGGGCTTCCCTGGCCACTGCCCTTACTCACCCCTTGGGCATCTGCTCCCCAGCAGCATTGACTCCAAGCACTTACCACAACCAGCCCGAGCATCTGTGCCATATTTACTTATGTCTTCCCCACATCAGTGGACCCTGCACTGGTGGGGGGAGGGGGGCTTTCTTTTACTCAGGATGGGGCCCAGCACCTGGAACACTGCCGTGCACATAACAGGGACCCAGCTCATATTTGCCAGATGACAACCACTAAAAACCCTGCACACAGTTCATAATGGGCTTTACCATCTGACTCTGCCTGTTTTCCCTAACTTCCTACCAGTCCCCCCACAAACCCTAAATCCTGCTTCCCTCTCTAAAGAATACTTTTTTTTGGCAGTACTGGGGTTTGAACTCAGGACCTCATGCTTGCCAGGCAGGCACTCTATACTTAAGCCACGCCCTCAGCCCTTTACACCTTAGTTATTTTTTGAATAGGGTCTTATATTTTTGCCCTGGATGGCCTGGACCACAATTCTCCTACTTCTGTCTCCCCCATAACTGGGGTTACAGGTATATACCACCATGTCTGACTTATTTATTGATTAGAGGGTCTTGCTAACTTTTTGCCCAGGTTGGCCTCCAACCTCCATCCTCCCCATCTCTACCTTCAGAGTAGCTGGAATTACAGAAGTGAGCCACTACACACCCAGCCAGTACTTGCTTGTTTGTTTGTTTGTTTGTTTGAGACAGGGTCTCACTGTGGCCTAGACTGGCCTTGAACTCAAGATCCTCCTGCCTCATCTTCCCAGGTGTTGGTGCAATTACAGACTAATGTTGCCACACCCAGCCCTAAAGAATCCTTTATTGAACCCATTCCTTCTCCAAGATTTTCCAGGAAGTTTTCATTTGCTTCCTCTATATCCCTAGGCACTAGAGGAGGGTCTCATTTGTAGGGTACCCAGAATACTATAGATCATGCCCTACTCTCTTCTGCAACAGCCTGTGACACCCGGAGCATATGTTCCCTTACCAAGCTCTGCGTCCTGGTCAGCTCCTAGGGGCTCCTGCACAGAGTGTGGGAGAAGTGACTCTTGGCTAAATGGAAGTTGAATTACTCTTTTGGGGCCCACTGTCATTTTCAAGGCCTCTCAGAAACTGTAGTGCCTCCTGGCACAGAGCTATGGGAGACCACTCAAGGTTACTGCAGAGGGAAGGACTAGCCTTGTACCAGGCAGTTAGGGCTGTGAGCAACAGCATCAGTACCTTCTGCCTGGGGCCCTAAAGGACTGAAGGGAGGGACACTGAACCCCCCCTTGGCAATAATCCCCCACTGATATAAATTCTGATTGACTTTGCAGAGCCAAGCAATGATGGATTCTGACCTATTATGTCAGCTACCACCCCAACGAAATCATACAGGATTTCTCCTGCGTGGGTGGCCAGTCCCTGAATCAGAGGGAAGCAATGGGGTTTCCTCTTCCTCTAGGAGGTTTCTTCTCCATGCTCCGTTCAGAAGGACGTGGGTCTGTATGTGTGGCCTTTTGGAGAAGTCACACGGGCCCCCTCCACCATGACTGGCCCCAGTCTCAGACCCCTCAGCTGCCGGGGTACCCACCTTGACTTCCAGAAAGTGTCTCTGGCCATCTCTCAGTCCTGTGAGCCCTCTGGAGACGTGGTATCAGCCTCCTTGAGAATCTACACTCACCCACGCACAAAACTGCCAGTATCTGTTCCCACAATGCTCTCTGATTACTGCACATTTACAACCTGAGCTCAGCAGAACAGGAACAAGGCAATGCAAGACCCAGGGATAAACCCTTGGTTGTGTGGCTTCCTAAAGATACCTGACCCATTTGGAGCAAAGGCAGAGAGAGTCCAGGACATTCCTGGGAGCTTACTGAGGCCCAGCAGGGGAAATTGGCTTGCCCAGAGCTGACAGGCAAGTCATGGCCAGGCCTGAAGCCCAGAAATCTGGGTGTGAAATGTAGACCTTCTGGGCCCTACCCAAGGTTGATGAGTGGAAACAAAGTGTCCATGACTCCCACTGGCCTCAGATCTAGCCCAGACCACAGGCTCAGTGTAGCTCAGGCTCAGGCCTGCACCAGATACCTCTTTCCCCAGGGACCCTGGAACCAACATCAAGACACTGGGCACAAGCACTGCCAACAGAGGACATCATCTAAGGGAAGGCAACTCAGGAGATGACTGGTGGCTGCTGTTGGAACCACCTTCTGCCTGGCTTCCTGCAGGTCAAGGCCCTTTTTCTCAGGCCATCCTGGCTCCTGGCACTCCCACTGCTCAGCACTGCCTAGGCATGGAAGATCAGGCCCATTCTACCCATGTCTGGCCACACGTTGAGCCTCCAGCAATACCTCCTGCTCCCTAGATGACCATTCATGAGGGCATCCAAGCATTTGCAGCCTCAGCAGTTGAGAGTCTGGGAGACCCTCCAAGGACTGTGTCCCTGCAGCTTCTTGGAAGAAGCAAAGCATGTCACTGTTTCTCTTCCTATCATCTCAGATTCTCTCTTGGGCAGTGTGGGGCCAACCAGTGCCCCACACTGCCCAAGAGAGAATCTCCCATGCAGGATGGAAGCCCCAACTTCCAGTTGCCTCCAGGGGTCCTTAGCCTGAATTCCACCCGGTCCATCTCTTTCATGGGGTTGTGACAACGTGAGGCCTCCTGTAACGAGTCAGGCCAGATTAGGGGAAGGAGTGGTCTCAAGGGGAGGGAGGACAAATAAATATCATGTATGAACTTGGGCAGGTACTTCCTAGAAATTCCCTGGACATGGGAGGATCCTAGCAGAGGGACTGTGAGCTCTGTTTCAGAAGACCTCTACTGCTGGGTTACCAGGTAACAAAAGACCACCACCTCCTCCCTGCCATACCCAATTATCAGCCAGGGAGAACCCAGCATTTGAAAGAACATGGAGTCCAGAGCTGGGAGGCCTGAAAGTCTGGAAGCAAGTCCCAGATCTGTCACTCATAGCTGGGTGAATTTGGGCAAGATACTCAGATTCTCTGGGCCTCCGGTCTCTGAGCCTCCAGTTTCTGTTACAAAAGGCTTGTCACATTTCTCATACTGAAGGGATACAGAGTTGCTTCAACTCCTCAACCATATTAACTGTCTTTTTGGGGGTTTTTTGTTTGTTTTTTGGTGGGACCTGAGGTTTGAACTTTATGCTTATAAAGCAGGTGGTCTGCTGCTTGAGTCACGCCACCAGTCCATTTTGCTCTGGTTATTTTGGAGATAGGATCTCAAGAACTATTTGCCAGGGCTGGCCTCAAACCACAATCCTCCCTCCTAAGTAGCTAGGATTGGCAGGCATGAGCCATCCGTGCCCTGTCTTTGTTTATTTCTGTATCCTCAGTGAGCCTGGCATACAGTAGGTGCTCAGCAAATGTTGAACAAATAAAAACATGACTGTTGAAGAACCTTATAAATTTCATGTATATAAATATATTATATGCAACAAGTCTATAAACCCCTTCAAAATAACTGGAAGTGAGGTCTTTTGCTATGTACCCATGAAGGTAGCATTTGCCTTTTTACTAAGGATTTTTAGAAATTGTTCTATTGAGACAGAACCAGAGCTGGAGCATCACTGATAAACCTGCTACTGAAGGAACCAGGCCCTTCACCCTGAGCTCTGAAGCCCTGGACCACCTTCAGAAGCCATTAAATAGACAGTTACAGACCCCTGAAGGGCAGGAACACATCTGACTGATGACCGTTTGTGCTCCTGCCCTGACTCCTGTGTCCAACTCCGAGACCTGAATGTGAAAGACACAGGTTAATCCTGGATCTTCCACGTTCTAGCTGTTTCAGTAGTGTGCCTTCTGAGTCTCAGTTTTGCCAGTTCTGAAATGTGTTCAATAAGGTGTATGAAATGATTAAACGTCATTCACACGCCTAGCCCAGTGGTTGCAGGACGGCAGGTGGTCCCCAGGGTGTATTGGTGAGTTCCTGAAGCACCCAGTGTCCCCTTGCATTCCCAGCTCTATGAGAGCTAAACCTGACCTGCTGGAGGCCTGTGTTCTGCCCACACCTGGGCCACCAAGAATGGACATGTCCCATGTCCATTGGGGCATGTTAGATGGCTTAAGAGAGATTCTTAGAACTGGGCAGAGGATTGGATTCCAGAGCCAGATAGTGGGGGAGCTGGTCTGGGGATGAAATGTCACAAGGGACAAGGCAGAGCCACAGCCCCAGGACAGACCTTCATTCATTTCCCAGTTCACAGATGGGGATCACCAAGATTTCGCCCTGTCTCCCAGGCTCCTGGACTGTCCCTAGCTGGCCTGCAGCAGGGCCTCTTTCAAATACTACAGGGCCCTTAGGCCGGGACTGTGCCCGGCCTGGACCACTGTCCACCAGGTGACAGCCTCAAGCCCCCCAGTTCCCAGGCCGCTGCGCTGACTCACCCCCACTGGCGAGTCCCGGCAGCGCCGTGGCCACCTGGCCGCCGGCAGGTGTCCCGAAGCCCTCGTCATTCTCTATGCCTGCGATCGCGCTCTCCTGCTGGGCCAGGAAGGCGGCAGCTGGGTCCTCCTCCGTGGCCTCGGGGGCCCCGCTCTCCGACGACGAGAAGAAGCCAAAGTCATCAGCCATTTTCCCCGCTTCTCTGCGGAAGCTTCTGCCTGGCGATCGGCTCTGCCCGATGCGTGCCCTGCTGCTGCGCTCGGGGACCGCGACACTGTCCCCCCCGCCCCTTGCCGCGAGGGGAGCCGTTCTGTGCCGGGACCCCGCACTTCCTCTCCGCCACCGGGCCCGGCTCGCCTGTCACTGCGGCTGCAGGCGCCAGCGGCGGGAGGAGCTGGGAACCGGAATGCGGTGATGTCACCGGCCGAGGGGGGTGGGAGGTGCCCGCAGGACAGCCGCGAGGTCGCCTCGCAGCGGCCACAGGAGGGCGGCAGCAGAACGGCGAGGTGGCCTCGGAGTGGTGGTGTGCGGGGTTGTGGAGCCCAGGCCCGGGCCGCGCTGGTGTCCACGACTCAAGATCCAGGCATAACTCCCGCCAGGCGGTGCACACGGCCACGACAGGCGGCATCCTGGGACTCTTAAGCTCGGAAGGGGTGGCAGCTGCGCAGACCGTGCTTCACCTAAGCTGGGCTGATTTGCTGAACCTTTTAAGTGACCCTCATCCTCTGTAAGAGCAGGAAAACGATACTGGGGAAGCAGATTCACACCAAGTTCATTGCCACTTGGCGGGGTAGCTTTTGTGCATTTCTTGTGGGTTTCTCATTTGGCCAGGCGAGGTGTTATGACCTGACTGGGCCCCTTCGATGTCCTTTAGGTCTGAATCAGCCTGAGAAAGACAGGCTTAATTTAACTAGGCAGCCTGCCACCCACCGCCCACCACTTCAGGCAAACAGTCTCCCAATGCCCCAGCCCTACCAGCACCAGGGTGACAACGTTTAGTAAAACTAGGCCTTGGCCATGACATTATAATCTAGGGATCAACAGGTAGCAAGTGTAGACACAAGGTACTGGGAGACCCAGAAAACCACCCTGGGATTTGGACTGTTTTCCTCTCCTGACTGGAGACTTGATGGGACACTAGAAATTACGGAAAGATGTGCCCAAGAGTGGGGAAGTGTTTGGCTGTGGGGAGTAGATTTAGTTAAGTCAGGGTGAAGGTGCTTTTGGTTTTGCTTAGTAATGCCTGGGTGTAGGTTTCAATTACATCCTTGATTTAAAATGGGGTTATGGTCCAATAAACCTTAAATTGAAAATGCATTTAGCTAGGCTTGGTGGTGGCTCACACTTGCAATCCTAGCTAGCTACCAGGGACACAGAGATTGGAGGATCTGGGTCAGTCCAATCAAAAGAGTTTGAAAGGGTCTGGAGGAGTGACTAAAGTGGTAGAGTGTCTGCCTAGCAATCACAAAGCTGTGAGTTCCAAAAAAGAAAAAGGTTGTTTGAGAGACCCTTGTCTTCAAACAGTAAAAGCCAGGCATGGTGGTGGGCACCTGTCATCCCAGCTAGGAGGGAAACATAAATAGGAGGATTGTGGTCCAGTATGTCCTCGGCATAAATGGCAAGACCCTATCCAAAAAATAACCAAAGCAAAAAGGGCTGGAGGATGTAGCTCAAGTGGTAGAGCACCTGCTCAAAGCCCTGAGTTCAAACCCAACTACCACCAAAAGGAGAAGAAGAAATAATTTAAAACACCAAATCTATCATAGTTAAGCCTAACCTAAGTGTGTTTGGAATACTTAGCCTACAGTTGGACAAAATCATCTTACATAAAGCCTATTTTATAACAAAATGTTTAATATCAGAACACTTCTCTTTTTTTGTGGTACTAGGATTTGAACTCAGGACCCACACCTTGAGCCACTCCACCAGCCTAGTTTTGTGATGGGTTTTTTAGAGATAGGGTCTTGAGAACTATTTGCCCAGGCTGGCTTCAAACCATGATCCTACTGATCTCTGCCTCCTGAGTAGCTAGGATTACAGGCATGAGCCATTTGCACTTGGCAGAACACTTTTTTTTTAATTGGTGGTATTGGGGTTTGAACTCAAGTCTTTGCACTTGCTAGACAAGTACCCTACCACTTGAGCCACACCTCCTAAAGTATTGGAGTTTTTGGACATTGTACTGGAAGTGAAAAATAGAATGGTTGTCTGGGTACTTGAAGAAAAGTCTCTCCTGAATATGAGTGACTTTTATACCACCATCAAGTCCAATTCCAAGTGAAACCATTGTAAGTTGTAGATGGTCTATGAGAACTGTCATTCAGCCTGGCCCCGCCCACCCTCCAGCCTCATTTCCATCCTTCTTTATACACTGACAGGCATGGGTGCAGAAAAGACCAGTTCAACTAGTCAGGCATAAATGTCAACTCCAGGTATGTGGAGACAGAAAGACTAAGGGACATGCTACAGTTCACCTTGACCTCCCTTGGATGGCCTTAGTTGATTTCCCACCAGCTGCAGTCAGTAAGGTGGGCAGCCCTGTTTCCTTTCTACACAAGCAAGGCCATGGTTGACTTCTTCCTTACTACTTCCCCTTTTCCTCCTCTTTAATCTGCATGAGTTATTTCTTCAGTCTTCTGCAGCCTTGCTCACTCTTATGCATTATTCTCACTTTTACACACTAATATTAAAATTATTAGTAAAGTTTTATTTTAACCACGTAGCATTTCTTTGCACTAGATATTTCCAGTTTATTGACACTTCTCTAAATATGTTTATGGCATCTAAACACAGTTTTTTTCATGGTAACTGGGGACTGAACCCAGAGCTTCATGCATGCTAGGCAACTGCTGTACCACTTGGGCCATGCACCAGTCCTATTTTTGTTTTTGACCTTTGCTGGGACTGGCCTTGAACTCCACATCCTCTAGCATTTGCCTCTGGAGTAGGTGGAATTACAGGTGTGCCCTATTACACCAGGCCATCATTGGGCTTTTGATAGGGATTGCATTAGATCTGTAGATCAAACTATGCTGCCATTCAATAACATTAAGTCTGTCAATATAGGAACGTGTGATGACTTTTCATTTATGTCTTCATAATTTCAGCATTTTTTCTTTTTTTTGGCAGGACTGGGGCTTGAACTCAGGGCCTCACACTTGCTAGGCAGGCACACTATCACTTGAGCCACTCCATCAGCCCTTTTTTTGTGATGGGTTTTTTTCAAGATAAGATCTCACAAACCATTTGCCCAGGGCTGGCTTCGAACCACAATCTTCCTGATCTCTGCCTCCTGAGTAGCTAGGATTATAGGCGTGAGCCACCAGTGTCTTGCTCTCAGTATTATTTTGCAGTTCTCACTTGACAAGTCTTTCACCTCTTCTTTAGTCAGTTTTTGTCACTACGACAGATACCTGAGAAAAGGTCAAAAGGAGGAAAGATTTCTTTTGGATCACAGTTTCAGACATTTCAGTCCCTGGTCTCCTTGCTCTTTCGCTTTTGGGCTTGTGCATGGTCAGACAGAGAATCATGACAGAGAGCATGTGGTGGGGTCAAGGGTCAAACAGGTGGCAGAGGGACCAAGAGGAAGAGTTCAGGACATAATACATCCTTCAAAAGCTTACCACCAGTGACCTACTTCCTCCAGCCAGGCCCCACTCCTAATAGCCCATTCAGCTATGATTTAAAGTGGGGGATAACTTGTCTTTTCTTTCAAAGAAATAGAATTACATACTCAACTCAGGTAAGTCCACTTTGAAGCAGCAGCTCGTTATGCTTTCTTAACTCGAAGTTTCCCCTAATATTAAATGTTAACGTTGCTCTTTACTTCATCTATACGCAATCAAGACTGAACCCTGACTCCTACAAATAGGAGCAGGGGGCAGTGTTGCATCAGGGATAAAAATCCGAGTAGACTTCCTGGTTGGTGTGCTTGCTTATCAGACCATTGTGTTGCACACATTTCTGCAGAAATAAAAAATGTTTGCCTTACTGACTGACTCCTGGCAGCCCCACTCAGTCCCTATCAGGAGGGTAAACAACCGTCACTCCATGGTGGACTGTGTGGCTAAGATCTTTGGTAGGTTAAATTCAGTATATACATCTTAACTTATGATATTTTCTTTCTTTTTTTTTTTTCACAGTACTGGGGTTTGAGCCACTCCACAAGCCCTTTTTCATGATGGGTTTTTTTGAGATAGGTTCTCAAGATCTATTTACCCAGGCCAGCTCTGAACCTCGATCCTCCTGATCTCTGCCTCCTGAGTAGCTAGGATTATAGGCGTGAGCCATATAATCCGGCTCATACATCACTTTTTTGTAGTGAGAATGTATATGCTCTTTAAAAAACTGGGAAGTTTTAGAAAAACAAAAATGGGAAGTTCTGGCAATACTAACTTTTTTTGGTTTCAAAGTTATAATGTATGGTTTAAAGAGAAGAAAAGAAAAACCAGGAAATTGTTCACAGGTATGGAAGGATCTAGAAAGAGAAAAAATTGAGGGAAGTCAGGGAAGGGCAAATTTGGGGACAATCCACTGGCCAAAATCCTGGTCTCCCTCCCACAGCCCTCTCCCTGAAGCAGGAGAGAATTAGATCCATTTTGTGCAAGAGTTTTTAAAAAATCAAATCACAACAAAGCTGACATGGTTTCTCTCTTGAGCCTCCAGGATCATTTATGTCTGTCTCTCATTCTGGTCAGTCCTGCTCTCCACCAGACAGTTTCTCTCTCTGAGGACTCTACCTATCCCAGTGTAGGGTTTCCATGGACAGGATCAGGGAGTCATAGCCCAGTACATGTGTCCATAGGACTCCAAGTGCAGTGCAGGGCTCTTGGGCAGAGAGGGGTGGGAGGGGGAGAGAGGAGTGGGAGGGGCAGACCCTGCCCAGGCAGTCCTCACACTGGACAAGGCAACAGACAGAGGTATCCCCAGGGCTCTCCTTCCTTCCCACCCCCAACTCAGGTACAGGAGGACCAGGTGACACCAGAGCAGATGTTGGTGAAGATTTCAGCTGAGCACCTTAGCAGACATCAGCAGTGCCTGAGGGCATCCAGCATTGGCAGCAGGTTGAGAAGGGTCTCACTGGGGCCACTGAGCCAGGATTTGATGAGGATGGCATGGTCTAGGTGGCTCCTTTAAGCCTCTGGGAGTTATCCAGGATCACAGTGCTGGAAAAATCACTGTGGACTACAGAGAGGCCCTGGCTTTAGCTGCCTGACTCCAACGTGGAGGGATGTCTGGTATTTCCTCTTGAGGATGCATTTGCTTCTGTTCAGTTTATCTGCCAGAACAGATCTGTAAATGTCCATACTTGCTGTAAATATCACCAGTTGGGTGCCACTGGTTTATCACTTCCGAGAATAAATTCATGTACAGAAAAACAGACAGGATGTCTGTTTCTTACCACCTTGAGGATGCAGTCAGGAGGTGTCCAGGCTGCACTGAGCGCCTAGGGAGCTCATCATGGTGAGAGTGAGGATGGTGCTGAAAAAAATTAAAAAATGGAGATTAACGGAAGGAGTTGAATGGACCAAAGTAAAGTATGCCCACACATCGGGGATACATTGAAAAACAACTTTGAACATCAACTTAAATATTAATAACAAAAGACAGGGCTATAAAATAGGTACAGTGTGGGTGGGTACTTGTGTAATGGGAGAGGGTGAATGATGGATATTAAGGTGAGGATATTTGGTTGATGGATTTCATATACTTACATGAAACAGAACAAAGAAACCTCTTGCAATTGCTTTAAGTGGGGCAAGGAGGGGCTTGAGGGGGAGAGGATGGGAGTGATGTAACTAAAGTACAATGCAAGCCTAATCAGAATTGTCACTATGAATCCCCCCCATATAATGAATAGCCTTATAAAAATTTATACATGTATAAAAATAAGAATTTATTAGAAAGGTGGCTGAGCTTGGAGCGGGGGAAACCAAGTCTCAAATCTGCTTCCCCGAGGGAAGGAGACAGGGACATTTATGGGATGAGATACTGCGCAGGCCAAGCAAAGCACAGCAAATTGCAGGTGAAGTAGTCAGTGGGCTGCACCTGTGAGATGAAACTTCATGGCGGCTCATAGGATGCAGGTGCAGACAATGGTAACATTAGCATTTGCATCAGATGGTTGTGACCCATCAGCTAAGGGCTCAGTTTGACTCATGAGACCTGACAAAGACCTGAAAGTAGCCAAAACTTAAGTCCCTCCATTCTTTAAAGTGTCCTCACAGAAGGTCAGCCTTAAAGCACTTCCTGTCTTCTATCTCACCTGATCAACCTTATAAAGTGGGCAGGGGTGGGATTCCATTGATGGGGATTACAGTGGGGCCTAGGAGGTCATGTACCTTGCTGGGGGAGGGAGAGGATCCTACAAGTAGTGTTCAAAGGAAAAATTCCTTAGGCCAATTATACTGAATAGGTTTATTTGAGCAAATAAAAATAAAAACAACTTGTAAGCCGAGTAACTCCCAAAACCACAACCTGTTCTAAGAATCCCAGCAGACATGATCAGACAGCATTTATAGGAAAACGGAAGTTAGGCATGGAAAACAATTTAATTTGCTCCAGCTTAGCCAGTCGACCAGGCATTTGGTTACACCTTGGTTCTTAGGCTCTGGGGCTTCCTGCAGCCAGCCAAGGTTCAGTTCTTAAGACTCAACTCTACTGATTGGGTTGATTGGGGTCCTTGCAGGTGCCCAGTCCAAATCCGTGACCTCCCACAAGTTTTATTTAACATTAGTTAGTGGGAAAATGCGTGTCATTCTCAACTCTCAGCTACCCAATGGCTCTGGAGGATGGACAGGAAGCAGGTGGAGGTGGAAATGAACATGGGGGGTGGAAAGAGAGGCAGCAGACTGGAAGGCCTAGGGAAGTCAAGACTGAGGGATGGAGACTGAAGGGTCCAAGGACAAATAAAGAGCAGAGGTGGCATGTCCCCACATAGGGGACTGTCATTCAGCCAAAGGCAACATGGAGACCAAGTGGTTTGCCCAAAGATGGGTTACCATCTGCAAGGTGGTAACCAGCCAGGAAACCAGTCCAGAAGAGGGGCCCATGGGCTAGATCTTCAGCACCATTTGAAGGGTGACATGAGGCCGGGTCGAGGCTCCAGACCCGTCGGGAACCGGGTGGTTGGAGACCTAAGAAGCCCGGTTTAAAAAACACTCCTAGTCAGAGACACTGAAATCGCAGTTTAAACGTGGCCAAAGCCTTTCCCCTGCTTCTTGTTCCAAGACGGTATCGGAAAAGTCCCACCAGCATTCGGGGAGTTTCGGAACCTCCCGAGAGGTGGTCTGGTGCATTTGGAGACTTCAGTATACCAAGCATCAAAGAGCCGATATTTCACAACAGCCACAATTTCCCGAGAAACCTTTGGGAGTATCCGAGATGCCTGGAAATTGGTTTGGGAGCAATCGAAATCAGCCGAATGCCATTCGGGACCTTCTGGAGCTTCTGGAGGCATATTCGGAACCTCTCGGCTTTCTGAGACTCTATTCAGGATCCGTTCGTCGTTTAAATCGTAAGAGCGACTCGTGCTGACAATTCCTCGGCAGTTTCCGGAATCGTTCGGGCTAGACCCGAGAATGGCACCCTCTGGCGGTGGGCTGCGGAAGGGGCGTGTGAGTCAGCGCGCGCGCAGACGCAGTAGCGAGTCGGCGGCCGTTCGGACCGGATGTGGTTGCGCCTGAGGTCACTTCCGGCGGGTGACGGTGCGGACGGGTCAGGAGCGTAGAGGCGGCGGCAAAATGGCGGCGCCTGAGGAGCGGGATCTAACCCAGGAGCAGACAGAGAAGCTGCTGCAGTTTCAGGTAGCAGCGAGTACTCGGTGCAGCAGATGTCACCGCGGGATGGGGAGTGGGCTGTTAGAGGAGCGCACAGTCCTCCTCAGATAGGGGTCGGGCTCTTTCTCAGGCGGCCCCCTCCCCCCCGATTCCCCAGCCCCGGGAGCCTCTGTCGGCCCCCAGCCTTCCCGCCATCGCTGCCAGCCAGGCCCGCCTCTGTGCACCTCTTCCCTCAGTGGGTTAGTCCCCGTAGTTTCTCTTGGCGGTGCCGGTCCTCAGTCATCCTTCCCACCTGGTTACCGGTCGGATCCGCTCCACCCAACGACTCCGTCTGCCAGAGATGTTTAGCCCCCACCGAAGAGTTGGCGTCGGTTCTCTTCTGTCTGGCACAATCTCCTACCACCGCCCTGTACCATCCCACAAACGCCCACTGCGGGTCTCTGGGTATCAGGTCTCGTGTTGGGGGACTGTGATGGGGGAGGAAGCACCCACGCACCGGCCTGGCCTTTGCCCTAGAGGTGTGGGAGGACCCCATGGCACGGAAACCAAGCCATATGGGTGTCGTCGATGGTCTCCTTGTCACCTTCGCCTTACTCCTGAACGATGCTTCAGGAGGGTGGCAACTTGCAGTAGTCTGCCTCTTGTTAGTGGATGTTCACGTTCAGAACATTTGGCACTAAGCACTTAACACTGAGCTAACTGCAGAGTCTGATCCGGGGAGACCACTACGGCGGATAACCATGGCGTTGTTACCAGTTCTCCTCCCTAAAAATGTCTTCTCCCATGAGGATGCAGTTTGAGCTCAGCTGAGCCTCCGGATGTTAGAAGGGCTTTGTAAACAGTAAAATGCTCCCAAACATAATTGCTGCCCCTAGTTTTTATTCAGCAGTATTTATGAAGAGCTGCCGTAGGGCTCAGGCACTGCTAAGGTAGAATCCTATTTGCTAAATGTTTGTGATGCTGTAAGTGCACTTAACATACAAACCCCGTTGAACACTCACAACAGCCCTATGAAGTTCATGCCTTGTTGTGCAGTTAGAGATATGAAGCTTAAAGAGATTAGCATGCTTAGGTTACACAGCTAGTAAATGGTGGTGTCAGATTTAAAATGAGGTCCATCTTTCCAGAACCTTTCCCAGACTTTTAACTTCTCAGCTGTACAATCTATGTAACTATCAGGGTACAGCTGAGAGTGGAATGTAGTTGGTGTGATGTTAATTTTTTTTGTGTATGAGTTCTCATTTCTCTGTAACTTCCTTATTAGATTTCACTATAATTTTGAAGTGTCTTACTCTCCACCCCCCCAAATTAGCAAATGTGTTGGAAGTGTATAAGTAGAGTAGTTGACATTTGATTGGAGTTTTTAGTAGACACAGATTAGAACTAAAAAATGTGTACACAGCAGACAGCCAGCTTCCACTTATGTGTAAACCACCAATTTCTTTTTTTTTTTGTTAGCACTGGGGTTTGAACTCAGGACCTCATGCTTGCTAGGTAGGCACCTTTACTGCTTAAGCCACTCCACCATTACTGTTTTTTGTTGGGTATTTTCAAAATAGGGTCTCTTGAACTATTTGCCCTGACAGGCTTTGATCCACAATCCTTCTGAACTCTGCCTCTTGAGTAGCTAGGATTACAGGTGTGAGCCACTGGCGCCTGTCTTCGAATTTTACTTAGTATTGGCAGACCATTTTATTCTTTACAACTCTTCAATTTCATGTTGTACAAGTGTAATGAAATTTGAGTTGTAAATCATGTATTTAGTCTTGCACTGGAAGAACTTGAATATGAATGTATAGTAACATCTCTCAGGCAAAGTGCATAGGAAACTCCATTTTTGTCTTCACTGGACATCTGTATCAGAGGAGAGGTGAGTAGCAGGTTAATAAAGTTGGATTATGATTTAATAAAGGTTGTATTAAGATTTACAAAATTGAATTTATTGAGGAAATGCATTTTACATTTCTGTGTTCTATGAACAGTCACTCCAGACTGCCATTAAATATTCTTTGAAACTCAGTAGATGCCAGTCAAGCATTATACAGCATTGCACGTTGTTTTAAACCTCTTGAGAAGACTAATGGTTAACTGCATTCATTTTGTTAGTGAAGAAACAGGTCTGAGAGGTCAAATAACTTGCACAAATAGTAGGTAATAGAGATTTAGAAACCCACTTCCTTAACCATCTTGTCTGCAACCTAATGGAGAAGCCAGGTGCACAACATGAAGAGTGAAAGTATTCAAGAAGATAGTAATGGTCATAGTGTAGTAGAATATACGTATATATATAATATATATATTTTTAAGCTGTGGGAGTTTAGGGAAGGGTAGGAGTATTGATGGTGGAGGGGAAGGATGACTCAGTAGTTACCACTTGTTTAGTATCGTGGTATTATGATAATCCATATAGTATCCCTGTAAAGAACCATAGGTGGTATGCCTGCTCTCAGGTGAGGAAAGGAATCTATTGATGAATTTGCTTAACGTCCTTAAGTAGGGAATTCTAGTGGGTCTGGATCTGGCCTTGACTGCTGGGCTATTACCACTGTGGCTTGCTTTCAGTAGAATTCAGCAGATAATAGGGAGGAGGGTGTTCAGAGCTGAGAAAACAGGTCGCACACGTGGTGATGGGAAAGTGTGGAGTGTGATGTGATTGGCTTAGAGAATTGGGAGTGGAAAGTAAGATTGGAAAGGTAAACAAATCAGATTTTGGAGGCTTTTCAAAGTTGTGCCCAGTGGTTTAAACTATAATCTGTTGGCCTGGCAAGCCAGCAAAGGTGGTTTTCAACTAAGAAGTGACAAGCAACACATGTTTCAGGTTTGTTTCAGTAACAGTAGGGAGCCTGTGCTTAGAATCTAGTCATGGGTCAAGACAGAACAGGACGGCACTGCCAAGAGCTGATTCTTAGTGTTTCCTCATTTAATACGTTGGGATTAGTGAAAGTAAAATATTTTGGAAATCTCAGATTTCTGCTGTTTCCTTTTCTTTCTCTGTGTGTGTGACGTGGTTTTATTGGAATGCCTAAGGCATATTTATTGTGTTTCTCAGTTTATTTTATGTTTCTAAGTTTTTCTGATAGTTCTCCATTGCTCCTATTTATTTTTTGAACTGCTGAGTATGAATAACTATGTAAACACTTGTTTGTGTTATAGTTTGAAAACTATTTCAAATGGAAAAGTATAGGGACATAAATTTTAAGAAGAGGCAATGCAAGCTGGGCATAGTGTGCACAGCTGTAATCTCAGTTACTTGGGAAGATCGTTAGTTCAAGGCCAGCCTGGGCAAAGGTGGTCTCAAAATATGGGCGGGGGTGTGGCTCAAATGGTAGAGTACTTGCCTACCAAGTGTGAGACCCTGAAATTATAGGGTTGTAAAAAACAAACAGGCAGGGGTAGGGAGGGGTGGCAGATAGCTCAAGTGATAGAGCACTTGCTTTGCATGCTCGAGGCCTTGGGTTCCGTCTTCAGTACCACCAAGGCAAGTTCTCACATCGAATCAGTTTCTTCTTTTATAAAATGGGGATATTATATTATCTGAGTGATAACATTCCTTTCCCTCTGTCCCCCTTTTTTGAGACAGATCTTGCTTTGTAGCCCAGACCAGGCTCACAGTCCTTCTAGCTTCCTTTTTACTTTTTAACGTCTACTCAAGCAAAGCATGCATGTCATAAGTCAGCAACATACAATTGCATTTAAAAAAAGGTCATTCTCATTGTATTCCCCGTACCCTAATTTTAAGTTTGTTGTGTATCTTTGAGTACTTTTTTCTCCTCATGCGCAGATCTACAAATTTGTTATTGAGGTTTCTTAACCTTCTCCTGACTGAATTGTTAAAACAGATGTCCTCCATTTCTTAAGGTCTGCTTTCTAATATGCTCAAATATAAATGTTTCTCTTTTTTTTTCTTTTCTTTTATTCATATATGCATACAACGTTTGGGTCATTTCTACCCCCTTCCCCTGCCCCTTCCCTTACCCGCCCCCCTCAGTATAAATGTTTCTGTTCTCCCAGTTGAATTGTACCTCATGCATGCTAGGCTGGTGCTCTACCAACAAGCTCCACCCTAGCCCTTGAACTGTACTCTTTTTTTCTTTTCTTTATTTTCTTTTGGCAGTGCTGGGGTTTGAGCTCAAGGCTTTGCACTTGCTAGGCAGGCACTCTACCACTTGAGCCATGCACCCAGCCCTTGAGCTCTACTCTTGATAAGAGTCAGTTATGTTTGCTCTTAAACCAGTGTGTGCTAGTATTTGTCATATAAACCTAAATATATTACATAAACAAATAAAGTAACAGTACAAAAAGTTTTATTTAGATGAAAACTAAATTAAATACTTTAAAAAGGCTTTACAGGGGCAAGTGGCTGGGGAAAGAATTGCCATTTAGTTAGGCGTAGACAAGATGACTAAATGACTTTGGGGAATATAATTGAGATAGAGGATTGTCCACTTACTGTTTGGCCGATGTTTAAAGTTGCACTGCACTTAAAAAAAAATCCAATCAGTGTGGTTTAGCTAGAAAGGTCCCAGGAATGCAGTGGTCCCATTCCCTTTTATCTTTCATAGAAGATTGCTGCATAAATGTATATACTTCATGTTAGAATGAAATAAGTAATGTATAGAATGTTTTTATTCTTTATTTTAAGTGGTCTTTCAATGAATTGACTAATTGTAGTGATATAATGGGACTAGTTATAGCCCTATTCTCATTGGGCAAGAAAACTTACACTGTTTTTGTCTTTGGGGATTTGGAGCATGCCAGGCAAACACTCCATCACTGAACTACACCCCAGCTCAATATGGCAGTTTTAAGAAAGAGACTATAGCAAAGTCCAAAGCTGTGTGGCTCTAATCCTAGACATATCACTTGTAGTAACTCAGCCTCCTCTCCGTGAAGGTGGACTTTTTAAGAAGAAGAAGAATCACCCAAAAGAGAATGATCAACAAAGAGGGCAGTTATCTTATTTCTATGCCCGTAGATATAGGAGAGAAAATGTGGGAAAGATAATGTGGGAAAGATAAGCCTTCAGG